GTGACATCCTGCCCAGTCCAAGTCAACATAAGTGTTGATGTCAAGCGTCTTTTGTTTGTCGAAGTTTCACCGTTGGCCTCAAGCGTTGAACAAAGTGTCCTGTGCGTGCCAAGCACCTACCCAAGTGTCTCAACCTTGCCCAGTGGTCAGTTGTTGGTGCGATAAATCCACGTGACAGTTCTTTCACTGCGTGCGTGATATCACACCGACCATTACACAACCACAAAAGTTGACCGACAAGTCGCCGGTACTTCTTGTTCTGTTCAGCATCAAGGGGCTCAGGAACACCTTTGGTGTATCGGTGCCAGGTGTCAAAGCAGGCTTTGCGCCTTCAAGATCAAGCTCCCCCAACCAAGGTTGGGATATACGTGACGAGCCGTTTGCCGTTTGATGTTTCTGCCAAGAAAAGCGACTTCTTTCCCATTCGTGAAGCGGAGAATATCAAGTCATCAACATGACACAAGATATAACGTCGCTTGTGCTTGCGCGTGCGTGTCGGGTCGCTCTTCATCGTATTAAAGTTGCTCATTTCCATGACTGAAGCGAAGTGGCCTTTCCAAAGTCGTGGAGCGTTTCGTAACCCGCAAAGCGCGCGTTGCAGCTTCCATATCACGTTCCCTTCAGGGTAGAACTCAAGCGGAGGAATCACTCGGATATCCTCTCCAGTGATAAGAGCGTGAAGGAAAGCTGTAGAGATGTCACCGCAAGTGACGCTCCAGTTGAACGCTGCAGCAAGTGTCAGCAGTAACTTCAACGTGACAAGCGAAGGCGCGCTCGCAAGCGTGTCATCCAAGTCTTCAGCTTTCTGCTCTAACCCACGAACGACAGGTGCAGCGGACAACGCCGTCCGGCTTGCAAGTCTGGACCCATTTCGTGGAGATGGCGTTGTCCAATTGCTCTTGGGCAAGTTGATCAAAACACTCTTCGTAGAACACATTGAAGTCAAACATCGAGCGCGCTTCATGCCTGCCATCTCCAAGTCGCGTGGAAACTCAGTGTCATACCACAAGTTCGGAACTTCAAGCTTCCGGACACAACAGGAACTTCGAGTAAGTCTTTTGAGGTAACGGCTGAGATCTAGTCGTCGTGTTCCAGTCGACGCTGCCTCTGACGCGGGCGCTGAAGCCTTCGCCCCCTCGGACGAAAGTCCCGAAGCTTCTGACAGCTGAAGAGAAAATACAAAGCGATCCGTTTCAACCGAAGTTCCACTTGGGCCCCAAGGTCTCGCACGAATGCTCTTCAGAAGTTGAACGTCAGCCTGTAGCGAAGGCGAAGTTCGCCTCGCAGCGCGAGTCTTGAACACAAGTGAACCGTGCCGTGTGACTCCCGCCTGATGCCACTAAGTAAGAGTGTTCCTTACCAAGTTCAGCACCGTAGCCTTGCATCGAAGCTCGGGCTACGGAGCACACAGCGTATGGGTCACAGACAAAAAAGTGCAACCGACAGGCGCAACTATCAAGCTCAAACTGTACAAGTTTCCTACCACCGCAGAAAGTGGCAAGGGAGGCCACTCTGGAGCAAAGTCCTTTTGACAACAGTGGGCAGCTGCTCCTGAATCAAAAAGCAGCCGCGCTGCTGATGCAAGTTGTTCTTGCAAGTACACATCGTGAAACTCCGTGTTCACATTCAAGTTCAAGTCTTCAATCTTTTTCAATGTGACATGTCGTGAAACTGTGGCCCATCAGGTGTGAAAGTCTCAAGTGGCGCAACTGGCAAGCCAACCAACGCGCTCAACAAGTTGTCAAGCAAACAAGTCCGACCAAGCAACCCAAGCAAAATGCAACCTTTCAACAGAAAGTCGACCGCGCCAGTCATCGTGTTGCGTGTCTTGACGCTTTTTCAAGTCCAAGTTCAAGTGAACTCCCTGTGCCAAAGTTTCCAAACATAATGGCAGCCAACATAAAGTTGGAAGCCACAAACGCTTTCGGAACAGGCTTAGCCTTTGGCTTTGGAAGTCCAGGTCACTAGGTGGCGCCTAGGTGATGGCAGCAACTCCAAGTCAGCTGGAAGCCAAAGCATCTGCTCTTGGCTGCTTCACCACTCTCAAAGTGGAAGTGACATCGGGCTGCGACTGCCAACCAAGACGAATCCTGAAGCGCCTCTGTTTCCTCAAGTGCGTTCACTCTCCTGTTGGGACAAGCGTTAGACAAGTGACCTGGTCTACCACAAGCCCAGCTAAGTTGGGGTTCTTACCTTTCCTTTCTCTTTGCCTTGCCTTTTGCCTTCGCGCGAAAGTTCCAGAAGAGTCCTTTTCCTTTACCTCTGGCCTTACCTTGTGTCCGTTTCCTCACCTTTGCCTTTGCCTTTTCTCCAAAGTGCTCCGGTGCGCATTGGTGCTGGGCCATTGTTGTGAGAATGTGTCGCAAACGAAACTAGTCCGCTATGACGTTTGATTTGCGCGTAGGAGTTAAAGTGACCTTGCATTGAGTCGCGAGTTGCCAAGCTCCAGTGGTCTTATTCAGCAAAGCCGCCACTAACACGCTATCGGGCACTTTGGTCC